GCTCCCTTCAGCCCTCATTTTCTATGAAATTGCTTTTGCTCTGTTGCACTTGAGGGTGGTAAGAGTCGATGGATCCACAGTGCTTCCTCCTCAAGGCTGATGGTGCTGGATATTTTAGCCCATTGGTAATACTGACAGCGTTAAAGCGATGTGGCAGCCGCGACGCTCCAGGAATTATGTGAGAGGCAAAGCAAATGACCTCCGGAGGTCCCTTCCAACCCTAATTTTCTGTGCTTCTGTGATTGTGTGCAGGAAGCGTGTAGCAGAGCTGGAAGCTGAATGCAAGTAGCTCCAATGCCTTCTCGCCACAAGCCTCCTCTCTGCGAACATGGTCATCTTGGTGGTCAAAGCAGTGCAAATGCCGGTCGTTTCCATGTGTTGCAGCCCCAAAAGGAAACCACTGGTTTCTATGTCAGTGCTTGCATTGCTTCTCCACACTCCAGCCTCAAGCGGCGGATGGGAGGTTCCCATATAAACCAAGCAAAGGCCTGGTGAGGATCACAGACCCCGCTATTGAATTGCTGCATCTTCGCCTGGTTGCTTGAAGCTTGTCTTCGCTGCAGCGTTATCTTGAGCTGGGACCTGAGCTTGACCTCTCCCCAGCTCCTGTCCACATGCAAAAATCTCGAGCTAGAGGATGAGTGGGTGCTTTCAGCTCCAGCCAGCTGGCTGTCAGGGGCCCTGGGCTGCAGCGCGGATGTTGCTGATGCTCAAATTAACAAGGCAGCAGCTGGAACAGCAGCAGGTAATCCAATCAGGTCGCTAATCCCATCACTGCTAATCCAATCGCTGAGCTAATCCAATCACTCTGTGCAGCCCTGGTGGGATCTGGAGGGAGGGTCCCTGCCCTAGGCAAGAGCGTGTGGAGCAGCCAACTATTGGGATGGGAACAGGACCTTAAAACTAGCCGGCCCCTTTGGAGATTTCATGGGGACTGTGCAGTGCACGAGACCCAGGGGGGACAACCCAACCTCCAGCCCACCATTGTCAGAGGACACGAAGCCATGCAATAGAAACGTCCTATAAGAGACAATTCCCAATGGATTGCATGCTCTGATTTTAAAAGGTCTTAATCACAGGGAGATAATTCGACAGCTAGCAGACTGCTGGGGCCAACAGTCATCCTCGAGTTTTCCCTTTCTTAGTGCATGTCGTCACGGGGGAGCTCTGCCTGTTATGAACCCCGGTAATTATACCAGCATACCCTCCACCCCGTGCGCACTCTTATTTTGTTAGAAAAGTGGCACTCGCTCAGACTAACTTAAACTCACCTTGTGCACCATAAACTAAACCCAGCCCAGCCTGCAAGAGCGTGCATGCAGCAGTGACACCAGGTTAACAGCCTCAGTGTGAGCTTTACCCAGTGCAACGCCCTGTGCAGGCAAGCGCAGATAGTGAGTTGTGTGGCCCCATGGAAGAAGGGCTCCTGTGGCCTTAAAACCTCCAACTCGGGGTAGAGAAGGTGGCTGGAACAGCCCTTGCTTTCCCTGCCATGTCTTACTAAAGTCTCAGTGATTTGGAGGGGAAATAACTAACAGCTCCAGGGCTGAGAGCACCAATTACACGAGAGCCGCTGAGGATGCTTTTGCCGCGACAAGGCGCAGAGATTTCCATGGGCTGGGAGCTGCAGCTGCTTTTTGCAGCTGGGAGATCCCCTCCGAGAAGCCTCCGCTGTCCCTGCGACCTTCTCCCCACCTCCATTTTGCACGAGACGATGCCTCAGTGCAAGCGGCCGGTCCATATGTGAGGGGCTCGTGACCAAGTCTCTGACAACATGGATGGATGTGTTCCACCCGGCGTTGCTGCTCATATGTGTGCTAGCGCCGGGGCTCTCGCTCCACCCACTGAGAGCCAAGTTCATCCCTGGTGCAGCCTTATTGAAGTCATGGGGCCACGTTCGAGGGCTCGCGCATGCATCCCTCTGTCCACCTCTGTTTTAACCCCAGGATCTGAGCTTCTCCCCAGAGCAGCTGCAAAGCAGAGTGACTCCGGAGTTACAAAGGCGAGTAGGGCTTGTCTGCAGGGGTTACACCCACAGCAAGCTTGGCCCTGAGTGTTTTGGGCAGTAAAGGAGAAACACCTGCACGGGGCCTGGATTGAAGCTGGAGCGTTTGAAAGCTTCCCCCCGTCATAATATCTCACATTCACCCAGTCCAGCATCTTTCATCCCAGGGCTCCTCGCAGGCCTGATGTTAAGCTGGATTTGGGAATCATCTGCATTTGTTCAGATCAACAGGCTTTTTGTTTTGCAAACCAAATCCGCGAAGTCCGCAGAGCCAGCGCTGGATTTATGCTTTGCCGTATGTGTTTGGACTCAAAGGCCCTTTTAATGGAAGCCGAAGTCCACCCCGAGCCCTGGGTTTCAAAGTGAGCGGAGGAATTACACCAGCCATCTGGAGTAGCTCAGAGCTGCACAGACCCGACAAATCCTCCCCCTGCCATTTGCTGATAAAAGGCAAAGCCCCCAGAGGGAAAATCGTGCCGGGCTGGACCGGGCCTCCTGGCTGGATTGCTACCAAAGGGGGTGGCTGTGCCTGGAAAGTGACCCTGGAAAGCGGCTGCATTTGCACACGATGCCCCAGGGGATAAAGCTGGGGGAGGAAAGCCATGCTGGCCGGAGAAGGAAAGCCCCCGCATCGTGCCCACCTGGGTATCGGGTGGCATGCTCCATGAATGCTGTGAAACCCTATCTCAACCCCATATGAGGCCAGCCCTGAGCAGAGAGACGGGGAAGGGGGTGGTGGCCGGGCTGGGAACCGCCTGTGGTGCACGTGCCTGTCTTCACGGACACCTTGTCTTCTCCTTTCCTGCAAAGCCACGAGTGCGAGACAGCCGGTGTGGTGCTTTTCTTCTTGAGCTGAGGGGATCCGTGGCACTTCAGCAGGACTCTGCGAGCATCTCTGCTTTGCCAACTGTGCCAGGCCCGTGCCCTGCATCTCCTTGTCTCACACCACCCCTACCTACCCCTTCAAGCTTGGCGCCACCACTATTGCCGTATCCCAGGATTAATGCCAAAGAAGTTGCACCAGCAGCATCTCCCTCTCTATTGTGCAATTGCAGGTTTTGAGGCCTTGGAGGAGAAGGCAGTGAGGTTGGGTATTATTTAATTCCTGCATGCCAGTCCTGGAACAGAGGCGGTCACGAATGGCACATAGGCTGCCCCCTCTTTCAGGAATCTCAGCCCCAGCAAGTCTGCTGCCAGCAGCAAATGCCCTTCCTGCTGGCCACAGATCCCTGGAAGAGAAACCACATTGCAAACCTGGATGTCTGCCTTCCCAGCAAGTCCCTTGAAAGTCCTGTCATCCCTCAGCTTCGTCTTCAGTCACACCCATGAGGTTTCTTGCTCTCTGATGCTGGGCTGTCTGGGAAACAGAGCAGTATTGAGGGAGAAGCCGGCGCTGTTCAAAGGCAGCTCAGAGCTGAGCTCCAGCATGGAGGGAGCCTCCTACCCCTGCCCGAATCCCCTCTCTGCCTCTCTCTCTACCTGCCTTTGCTTGCACAGAGCCGGGAAGCCTCTCTCCTTTGCTTGCTTGCAGGGACCTCCATGGGCTTTGAGACCAGAGAATTGCACACACATGGCTGTTTTCCTGCACCGCGAGGCCATCCTCCTCCGGACGGGCCGTGCCTATTGGCAAGGCTGCGCTGCGATCGGCAGATGCCAAGATCCTGCTTCCAAATGAGCCGTCCGGCCTCTGAGCCTGGGGGCTGACAGCAAAACCCGAAGGGAGGGCCCAAGCTGGCGTGCAGACAGCAGCGCACATCTGCTCAGGACAGCCGCGCTGCGCTGCCTGGTTGTCTTCACCTGCCAGGTTCCCGGCGCATCTGGCTTGGCAGCCCCCCAGCCCAGCGTTCGCGCGAACACCCGGACCAAACACATGGCGAGTTGCCGGCTTCTCCTCCCGGCCGCGCTTCTCCCTTGTTCAATAATTAACGCCCCACTCACTCCCGCCGATCCCTTCTGCACATGAAACAGCAGCCGGGGCATGATAACGCTCTAGCCCCAGCCTTGGCCTTTTGAGGACCTGATTAGAAGATGCACAGTCCTCAGAGAGAGCCGTCCCCGCACCCCATCACCTTGCACAAGGAGCGAGGACTCACCCTGCTAGCAATCCTGATGAAGGGCCACCGCCGGTTGTTATCGATGCTTCGGTACAGTGACAGCCCCAAAGCATGCTGCGCGCAGAAGCTGGTTCATCCTCACCTCAGCTGCTTGCAAAGGAGAGGGGCAATTTATTCCTGCACCCTCAAATTAAAGCTGGAAAGGGAGATGCAGGGGAGGTGAGGAAAGGAGAGACGATGCTGTTGCCCTGGGAAGGGGAACTGTTAACCACCAGCCTTGAAGCCCGTTCGGAAGTGCTTTATTCCTATTGACTTAGTTTTTACTTGGGCCAAGCACCTGCTGAGGTCAGGTCTTGTCAATGCACTAGGGAAGCTTTGGCCCCCATGACCCAAGTCTGGACTGAAACATGGGCACGATGATTTCCTCCATGCCCAGATGTCAGCTGGGCTGGTTGTTTGCAGCCAGAGAAGGGCTGAGATCCACCCCCGGCATTGCACCTCAAACACCAAACAGCCGAGACGTGCGTGTGCCCGGACAGACCCCAGATGGCTTTGAACTGCAGCACAGAATCGAAAGGAGGCCTGTCTCCACCTGCCCAGCTCGCTCTGTGCTCAGATTTGAAGTCTCTCTGTCTCTTTTCACCGTAGTATCTGGTGGACTTCTAATCAGTTCAGGAAAAAGCATCAGCTATTCCGTGTCTTTGCTCCAGGCCTCATAAAACAGATGGTAATACACCCACAAAGGGCAGGGGGGATGCTAGCAGCTCTCCTGATGTGCTGCAGAATTCGCCCGTGTTTTCTGAGAGGCAAAACCTACCGGGGAGGCTGGTTTCTGTTGGGCAGGGCTGCAAGGTGCTGGCTCTGTCCACGCTAGACCTGAGGCAGTGCAAAAGCACTGGGCAATGGCCAGGTTTTGCAATGACCTTTCTGTCTTGTTCCAGTAAAGCCCGACCCTCCAGAGAACGTGGTGGCCAAGCCAGTGCCCTACAGCCCGCGGCGGCTGGAGGTGAGGTGGAATAACCCATCCTCGTGGCCTGATCCAGAGTCCTTCCCGCTCAAGTTCTTCCTGCGGTATCGGCCCCTCATCCTCGACCAGTGGCAGCACGTGAGTGATGTCTCAGTTCCCTTCCCTCGGGTGGCCGGAGGGTGCTGGTATCGGGGAGGTCTGGTCCATCGGTCCTGCCTGACCTGCCGTGAAGCCGGCAGAGCTGGGGCTGTCATGAATGACCTACAAAGGAACTGTTCATTAGTGGCAGAGTAACGTTCGTTAAGGCCAGAGTAAAATTCATTGCTGCCAAAGTGATATCCCTGTCTGGTAACCCACCTGCGCAGACACAGGCGTTTGATTGCTGCCTTTATGCCCGGTGGAGCGAACTGACATGAAAGCGCCGTCCCTCTCTCCCTCCACGTCGCATCCGACGTCCTCACTCGCTGCATTTTGACACGGGGCCCAAGCTCTCTTCTCCGGGCATATATTCCCCATAAAACCTGCCGACGAGATGTAAATGGCACGGGGGGTATAAATGGAACCGCATCTCAACGGGCTTCACCGCGACGCCTTTCGAGCCGGCAAGCGCAGCCCCGTGGCTGTGGCTTGCGCTGTAGTCGGGAACATGGTCCTTGCCGTCACGGGGTCGTCGTTTACTTTATACTTTTGCTTTGTTTCGAAAGAGAAAAAGGTGTCAGTGATGTTCTTGGCAGTGCTGAGGGGCTTTGCTAGCTGTGAGGGACATAAAGCATGGGCCTTCTTCCATGCTGTGAGAGGTGAATTTTAGTTTTTCTGGCCCATTCAGCCCCCATCTTTGCCGGTGCTGGCTATCAGAAGGCCACTTACAGCGACTCGAGTGATGCTCTGCGATGCGGACATTCGGCCCGTGGGAAGTAGGCCGAGTGGATTCGTGCAGAGCTCACGGTTCTCTAATGTTCTTGCCCGTTCATTTGGTTTCAAATGGAAAATTTCAGTTTGTCGTGTCAAAAACAGAGCACGTGTTGGCTTCTGATTGGAGAGGGGGATTTTTTTCTGCTTTCTTTCTTTGCCTTTTATTTTTTCCAGTGGAAACCAGGGAGGAATGGGAAGTGGGAGGGGATCCAGCAAATGAAACCCAGAAATTGAAACCGATTTTTATTTTTGCCTTTGCTTTTGAAAATGCTTTCATAGAAACAAAGATAAAAATTGCCTCTTGGCTGCAACACTGCCCTGTGCTCTCAAGAAATTGGGGTCTGTGCACATGTAGCAAACCAGCTTTGCTTTGCTTTCCAAAACCCCTTTTTGGGGGAAAACATTAATGGGTTTTAGCCACCTCTGTCCTGTGGGTTCATGTGGGGAATTGCCTAAGTGACAAGCTCATCTTTCATCAGCACTAGTTTGGGATGGGATGGGATGGATGTGCTGCCCGGGGGCACTTGTACACTCCACGGCATTTAATCCTAATTAACTTAAAGATGATTAAAGAAGAGTCCAGCTGGCTACTAGGCCCCAACTCTGTCTGTCTTGTCTCTATGGACAAGTAGCCCTCACTGAGTCCAGGTGTTTGGGTGCTTGCGCCCTATGCACCCAAAGTAAAGGAGAGTGAGCAGTTTTGCAGCCTTCTGGAGTCTGTTCAATGCAGTCCCTAGATTTGGGCAATGCATGGAGAGAAGGAGGGTGCTTCAGGGGCTGAGGCATTTTCTGGGACTTAGGAGACCTGCGTGTGAGGCTTCTTCTGTGGCCTTCTTGGGCTGGACACTTATTTTCCCTGTCCCTCAGCTCCCCAGCCGTACACAGCTGGATGTGTGCTGCAAGGAGGGTGCATGGAAGGTGTGGAGTTGCTGAGATACTGTCCCATGAAAGAGCTACGGTTATTTAGCCTGGAGAAGAGAAGACTGAGGGGAGATGTGGTCACCATCTGCAAATCCCTTGAGGGCGATGACAGGAGGACGGCGATGGGCTTTTCTCTGTGGCTGCAGGGGACAGGACTAGGAGCAATGACCTCAAGCTGCAGCACAGGGAATTTAGGTTAGAGATTAGGAGGAACTCTTGATTCTGAGGGTGTCCAAGCCTTGAAACAAGCACCTAGAGCAGCTGTGGACTCTCCATCCATGGACATTTTCAGATGCAGGCTGGACAGACCCGTGCCTGGGATGCTTTGGTCAGGGCTGATCCTGCCTTGAGCAGGGGGCTGGATCAGATATGCCCTTGTGAGGTCCCTTCTGGCCCAACTTTCCTAAGAGTCCTACTGGCAATGTATTCACACCTCAAAGAAACTTCTCCATACAGAGGATGGGAACTTGCTATGCCACAACCCCACATAGCTTGGAGTCCTGGACACTATCCTAAGGGGTGGGAAGAGGTGGGTTTAAACCCACTCTACCTCTCCAGCAGAGTAAGGCATTGACTTTGGGTGCCCCACATGGGCCTAAATCATTGGGGGAAAGCTTTTGTTGCTACCACTGCAACTGCTTGTCATTTTTTGGGCTTTCAGTGTGAGCACCTGAAAATCCAGAGTCCAGGGTCGAATGCCATGTCCTGTGCAGCCCAAAATGACATGTTTCTGCTTTGCACTTTGGCAAGGGAAAAACAGGGATAAAATGGTCTCAGCTTGATCCCACCTGAATTTTCTTTTTTCAACTTTATTGTGGTTTGCTGCCAAATGCAAAACCGTGGGATTCAGACAGCCCTGGAGGCAGCATCGTTGCATCCTGGAGTGGATTCTGCATGGCGCGTTGCCATTACGGGAGCATGATGCCACTTGGAGGGGCTTGGCATTGCTTTTTGAAACCCCGGGTCTTCGGATCGTAGGACAGGGGGAATGTCAAGCTGGAAGGAACCTGACGAGGTCATGTCTAGTCCTGGCAGGATCATTCCTGACCAAACCATCCCATCTGTATGTCTCTCCAACCTACTTCTGAATGTTTCCAAGCATGGAGGTGCTGATCCAGACCCACCGCATTGTGGGCACGTTCTCTCCATCACATAAGTGGCCTGGCAAGTCCCGGCTTCCTAAAGAGGCTGCTTCTCCCATGTCATGTGGCGTGGGGCAGGCTGGATGTAGTGCATGTGTGTGGCACCATTGCACGCTGCCCCCCTTCCACACCCAGCAGTCACTAGCTCTCTGGGCATCAGTACAGGGGCAGCTGGTGAGGTGATGTCTTTCTTAGGCACTGCTTGCTCATATAAAGTGACTCTCCTGGTCGCTGGCATCAGTGGGATCGTGAAACGGGGTGCTTGGGAGTCATATGCTTGATGGCTGGCAGCCCAGATCTGCAGGATAAGGCGCAGCAGGCTGGGGACTGGGCTGTGTGCAGAGCCAAGGGGATGGCAGACAGTCTGGTTTGTGCATCACTTGCAGTTATTCAGCAGGGAAATTATTTGCGGTCACTAATGCAATCCTTGCTTTCAGGGCAGGCAGAGATAGAGCCGCAGACCCCTTTCCCCATCCACACAGGCTGGGTGCTGTGTTATGGGGGTTGTTTCAGGACCAGGCTGGAGCCATTGGGACAGCTTTGCTGCCAAATGCATTTGTCCCTGAAGTCTCCCTCCCAGAGTGGCAGAGGCCCGGCTGGGCTCCACATCCTTGCCCCTCTTCAGGCTGTGATGAGCTCATCCCCATTAACTGCTGTCTAATGCTGGATGTTTTATTGCCCTTAAAGCATCCTTAGCCACTGAATGATTGAGGTAGAGGCCTTTCCTTGTGCTCAATCTGCATGCCGTCATGGGGGGTGGGGGGGGTTCATTGTCAAAGGTGCAGCATGGAAATGGTTAACGATCCCTGTTTGCTGCCACCACGGTGCCCTGCAAAAGCCTCTGCCCAGAACATGCCCTTGCCTGACTTTCTGGCAGGAGACTTCCCCGCTGCCATAGCCTGGTCTAAGGGGTGCTCGGGATGCATAAGTGGCCTGGCAAGTCCCAGCTTCCTGAAGAGGCTGCTTCGGCCACGCCACGTGGCATGGGGCAGGCCGGACGCGATGCACTTATGTGGCACCATTGCATGCTGCCCTCTTCATTGCCCGGCACGCAAATGCCATTGCTCAGAAGCAATCTGGGCATCAGTACAGGGGCGGCTGGAGACCCAGCATAGGGTCCTAGAGCCAAAGGGAGCTGCAGAGGTCACATCTAGTCCAGCCCCTGCCTGAGGCAGGATCAGCTCTATCCGAAGCAGCCCAGACACATCCAAGATCTAAAGTCTTTGCAAAATGACTCTCAACACTGACAAAGCACCAGGCATCACCCCCAACCCTGCCCAGGTAAAGCAGGGGGACCACGGCTGCCAATGTCCTGCTGCTGCAAAGGGAGTTCATATACTCTCAAGAGACCCCAGGCAGGGCCATGCCCCTGCTGCAGAGAAAGACAAAAGCCCCAGTCTGGACCAGTCTGACCAGGGAGGAAGATCCCGTCCCGCCCCAGTGCAGTGTTGATCTGACCCTGAGCACGGGGGCAAGACCCGCTAGCCAGGACCTCGCAGGTCGGTGCCAGCAGGAGCATTGGCACAGCCCAGTCCCCATCCCCAGCCTGGGCTGCAGCACCCAGCGCCTCTGTGGGAGGCTTCAAACCCCCCCGACACATGGCTCAGAAAGGGGAGAAGGGGGCAACCAGCCTGGGAAACCCCCATTGCAGAGCACCGACATCGCTGCACCCACATCATCCTGCCCAACCTCTCCTTGACCCCTCCAGTGATGGAGTCCCCCCTTCCCTGGGTGCCTATTCCCCTGCGTCCTTGCTGTGACAGGGAAGAAGTGTTTCCTGAGATCCAACCTCAACTAAGCAACACCACTGCCATGCCCCAGCCGTCCCTCCACCCCCATTATCTTTCCCCACGTCTCCTTCCCCGCTTCTCAGCAGCCAGCCAAGCAGAATGAGCGCTGGTAGGATCAGGTGCACGGCGAGCTGTGGAGGGCAGGGGCATCTCACTCAATCACCGCCGGCGCTCAGGAGTCGAGTCACACCAGGTCTCGGCACTGGGGGTGAGACGAGGCCATCGGCCGCAGTGCTGGACATGGGGTCTCCTCAGGGTCTCAGAGAGCAATTAGGATGATGCCCACCCCGGGAGCCCCACAAAGGGTCCTCATCCCTGGCCGTGCCCCAGGCAGCTGAGACCTAGGCTCCATTCTTCTCTGGCAACTGCCTTC